CATTAACTTAATGCAACCTGACCATACTACGCATTATCTGAATGCACCATGACCATACTGTGCATTATTTGAATCCACCCTGACTAGTATCTAGTCTTACATAGCCATCATACACTAGTTACTAAGGGAATCCAGTGTCACATAGCATCGGTGCAATTCCCACTAACATATGGAATGGTCTCTTGGTCCTCACATAGCCAATAAGTAGATCATAGAGATGGGAGCCCGGTGTCACATAACATCGGTATAATTCCATCTATTGGCTCAGTCTTACATAGCCTTCAAGCCAATCTTTAACATATATGATGTATTGAACTGATGTAACTATACAAACATGTCTAAGGCCCAAAGGCCATACAACACTGACATCGCTAACCCACTCATCGTGAGTGTTCGAGCCTCGCGCCCTAATTAGCCGCTGAAGTGCCCCGCGTACTAACAATGCCCCACTAGGAAACTAAAGTAACCTGGCTACGCCCTAGCATAGTTTGACTCACTAAAGTGAGGTTATCCTCTCACTAGCTGCTATCTCGCTTGTTCTTTCATCTAGAACATTATGCGAAGGCTTATTAGTCTGTTATTGTTGTTTATTATTAAGCTATTCTATTTGGTTCGTTCATTACTTAAGGACGCTTTAGTCACTTTGATTCAAGAGGATTCTCTACACGTCTTGTGATTTCAATGATGATTATTGATCACTGGCGGTGGTACTATTCGCTAGCCCCATACCTGAATCGGGTTAACTTTGAGTAGCGATGCTCCAGTCTCTCATATATTACTTTCCTTCAATACCCCTTGTACTGAAAGGGACGGCTTGTGCCTCCTAGGTTCACTGACGTTCTCGAAGTTCACATTTTCTACTATTACTGAATTTAACTTATTTGTTGTACCGCTTGTCGGTATATCCTTTGCAAATATCCTCATCCTTAACAATTCGTATACGTCCTTGACTGAATATATTTCAACGTATTACTATTAATATGCTTACATCTGTTGCAACCTACTCCTATGAGTGTTTCTAGATATGTTCGGTCATTTATATCCCTCAAGTACTAAGTCTTACTATTATAGATCATCCTTAGCTCTTATGATCCTTAATCGGTTAAATATATCCATCCCAAGTGAGTACTATCGATACTCTACTTGCATTATTGATACCCTAGGGTCTAGTACCGATACCCCTATGAGTATTGATACCAAAAATGCATTTTGTTGCTGAAAATATTGATACTCTTGGAAATTATCCATACTATTGACTAAAGTATCGATACTCTTAGAAACTATTGATACTCTTGGGGTAAAATATCCATACTCTTGGAAATTATTGTTACTCTTTACCTTAAATCCCTAATTTTGACCCAATTCAACCAATTTCGATACTGCTCGTCCCAGTATCGATACTCAAATCATGAAATGGTTTATTTAGATTCGAGAAACACACAAAAGTCATCATAAGGGCCATAGTTTAATTCTAAATCATGTGCTAATGTTGTGGGTAGTGATTTAGGGTCTTAAAGTGTGATAAAATATAACACCCTCAACCCTTACCTGACCCAGATACGAATATGAGGTGTCACATTGACTTTTCAAAAGTTTACTCTTACAAGATAGTTGAAAATTCAAACTTTCATTAAAATAAAAGTTAAATAATTTACATAAGTACAATAAAGAAATATTTACAAAATCACTCAGAGCATATGTGATTTAAACTTTAATTACATACCAACATGATTAATATAAAAAAATGACATATTGTTTAAGTCACTTCTGATCTGATCTTCTTTTGGAGGTATGCTACCTTGATAGATCCTAATTCTATTCTTCATGCTTCTTTGCAACTAAGTGTCAAACACTAATACGTTAAATCACAGACTTAATGAGGCATATACGCATAACGAAATAATGAAACATGCAGTCACATACTTTTATCATATACAAGAATCATCATATATCACATATATAAAAACATACATTATCATGCATTTAATCAATAATATCATGTTACATTATGCAATATTTAATTCATATTTTATCTTTTAATAGCCCACGTACATTTTTGAGAAATTAAGGTATATGAGCGCATTGAGCTTGTGCACAATTGCAGTCACCACATCTCATATAGATTGCACTGAGTTCCATATAGAACGTTCCAAATGACTACATATATATCCCGAATGACCTCGTAGAATTGTCCCAAAGGACCGCGTAGAACCCTCAACTCTTGGCATGCCAATTATACCCTCAACTCTCATATCACATACTATGGGCTTTATCATTTATAACAATTCACATAACTTATATAACATAAACACATAATCAAGTAGTTTATTATCACATAGCTCATGTCAATATTTCATATAGTCACTTAGATAATTGCCATATAACTTATATCTTGATCTCTTATGTTCACATATAGCATGTAGCATATATAATCACATATCAACACATATAACTTATGCATGTACTCATGTAATCATAATAATCATATCAATCACATGAATGTATTTATGCAATTATGCAATCAACATGGAAAATAGACTTATCACAAGTCTTATTTCCATAAAACATCATCTATAATATATTATGCACTCACCTTGGCCTCACTAGTCCAAGCAAATCTCTTAACTCTCTCTCATGAATTCTTAACTATTTGTCTGGTCCAAACTTTGCTTTCGATCGATATCTACACAATTATACGATCCATGTAAATATCGAAACTCATAATACTAAAATAAATATTTGCTATCATAAGCAAAACAACATACTAAATTTCAATTTTTTAACTTGACTAGTATCAGTACTCTAGATATAGTACCGATACTTCTCTGCTTGTAGTATCGATACCATTCCCCAGTATCGATACCTTTTCCCAGTTCTGGAATTTCACTCTAAAAATGGTATCGATACTTACCTATTGGTATCGATACCCATGGTACCAATACTACCACTTCAGTATCGATACCCTATGAAGGATTTATCCTCGATTACCTTATGGTATCGATTTTGTTCATCCAGTATCGATACCTATACGTAAATATCGCATCTTCTTGTTTTGTAGTATCGGTATTGTTCATCAAGTACTGATACCACAAGCCCAATATATACTCCTACATCCCGAAAATTAACCAATACCTTACTAAACTCTTCCCTTTACTCTTCTTTTTCCCCCTTAACCTCATCTATACTCCCACAAACCATCCTGTCTCACTATAACACCTCATCATCTTTAATATCTCACCCTGACCTTTGAAACTAAGAATCTTATTAAATTTTCAACATGTTCTAATTTCATTTATAACACTTTATACTTCTTATTCTAACTGATGACAAGATAAATCCAACTTAAAAATCCATTTACTAACTCTCTTCTGCAAATTCACTTAAAAACCTCTTATATTAATTCCACCATACTTCCTCATCTTTTGGTTTTAAGAAATCTTAAGCTTTCCTTAAGTTTAAGTATTACCTAAAGAACATAAACCAAGCTTAATTTCAATAAATAATCAACTGATATGAAACTCACATTTTCCAATGGGGTTCACGGCTGAGGAGGAAGAAAGATGAAGAGTTTTTTGGAAAATCTTTTTCACTTCATTTCCTCTGCTCCACGTGGTTATATAAAATACCCATGAAATTTTTTAATTCATTTACTTTTCAAATGACCATTACACCCTTCCATTCATCATTCTTTGCTATTCAGTCCTACACAAAAATATTCCAACTAAGTCCCGAAACTTTTCAATTTATCTAATTTGGTCACAAAATCCTAAAATATGAACCCTAAAATGCTTAACTACAAATTCTTAGCAAATTCTTGAAATTTATGAAATCTTAACACTCCAAAGGATTAGAAATATAATACCTTGATTTTTGAATCCTGAAATTGAGCTCATTGTTTAGCTAAACTCTTTTCCTTGGTGATTTGGATGAAAACCCCACTTTTCTTTAGCTATGAATAAACCAAGTTTTTGATTCTTTAATACGATGTTGTAAGGGGATTATGAACAAAAATGAAGCAAGAAAAGGGTTCAAGACTTTACCTTTGAGCTATAACTACTTAGAGAAAATGAAAGAAGAGAAAATGAGGATGACAACATCAAGAAAAAAAATAAAATGGGATATAAAAACCCTCATATTTACAAAATAGGGAAATTATACTTTGGGTCCTTCCCTATCTTTCCACTATCTAGAAACCCCTTTTTTATGGCTAATTGGGCCAAAGTTCAAACTCAATTAAACTCAACGACTTAATTTATGAAATCCATAGGGCCCACATGTTTCTCGGGTAAACCCGAAACTATTAGCCCAAAATTTGGGGCATTACATAAAATTCTTATACTCACCCTGGAATTCTCGAGTATTCGAGGTAGAATAGGGATGTAAGTTCCGATGAACGTAAAATTCCAGTTCTTATCTAGAGGCTATCACGTATTCAAGGTAGGCTAGTATGTTGTCCTGAGATACACTAAAATTCCTCCGACCACATCACTAGACCTATCTTATGTTTGTTGATGTACTTTTGCATACCCATGACTTTAAGCACTAGCATGTTCATGTAATGAATACATATAGTGTTGCATAGTTATTATCGTGGCACTGAGCTTTTGAGCTCAGCGTTCGAAATTTGTTTTCCTGCGCAGGTTAGTAGAGGATTGCTAAGGAGTCTATTGTGCAGATAAATTCAATATCAACCATTTTAGAGTATGTCTCTAGACTATTAGAGGACATGTATTTTATGTGGACCTTGTATTTATTCGAGTCATAACTCTATTTTGATTTGAAACTCAGTGTTTGTAATTGTACTTAATGGGAGACTCCTATATTTTTGTAAACCTCTATTTGTGATGTTTGATTTCATACCATGGGAATGATCATGGATACCTTACAAATGTTTTGAAAGAAAATTTAGGGTTAACCACTTCAACAAGACTTTGATTTCATACCCATTTCAAGAAAATTTGTTTTCATGTTATGTTTATTTATCGTGCGATCAGGCAAGACTTTGGCATTTGGCGTACCGGCAATGATGCATGTATTAAACAAGGAAAATGGTAAATCCTCAAAAGTGAGGAATCCGCTTTGTCTTGTGCTTTCCCCTACAAGAGAGTTGGCTGAACAAGTATGAATCTGTTTGACTTGATCTTGCTTTAGCAATTTGTACCTTGGTATATGCAGAACTTCCATATTCGGATGTGTGATTATAGTGCATAATATCTATTAAGTTTTTTCTCTCTCTTTAGTGTTTAACCAGTCTTTTGGCTTCATCTTCTGGTGGCAGATATTTAATGTTCTGTGTAGTGCCGGCCAAGCATGTGATGTCAAATCCGTTTGTTTGTATGGGGGAACATCTAAAGGACCTCAGATTTCTTCTTTGAAGTCTGGTGTTGTAAGTTAATTTACTTCACTTCTCTATATTTTATATTGTTGTGTGCATTAGTATTTTTGGTTAACATGTTCCTTTTACCTTATGCGTCTTTTTTTACCTTGTTTTAGTTGAAATGTTCTTGGAACTGGCAGGCAAGGGTGTACTTCTAAATTTATTAATATTCTATAGATTTGTTATTTTGTATCTTTTTTCCCAAACTGATGATATGCTTGAAATGGGTATCTAATCTTCTGTCATAAGCAATGTGACTCATCAGCTTCTGAACTTTTGAATATGGTTGTGGAACCAAAAGCTTTTGTTTAGTTTTTCGGTTGAGTCCTAGTACTTGAAACTTTCTGGGATCATGAATTCCATTGAATATGTAAAGGGTGTGGACTTTGTAGTTTGCAATTAGATGCTTTATTTTGGTTGTTAAATTCAATTTATCGATTTTGTTTGTTTTGAATAAATTTACACTGCTAGCACATTTTAGGGTTGCATTTCTACATTTGTTTTTGTTTATAAAGCTTTTATAGTGGCTAATAGCATTTAGCAAATGAATTTTTAGGCGAATTAAGGATTTAGTCATTGGGACACCTGGTCGTCTGAAGGATTTGATGAATATGGAGGTGTGTCAGCTTAATGAAGTATCTTTTGTGGTAAGTGAATACTCCTCTAGCATTACTTTCATGCATTGCACTTTGTCTCGAAATTATTCAATGGTTTCTGTGTAAACTTTATTGTTGTCTTATTCATGGCCACTAAAGCCTGTTTTATGCATAACTGAATGTGTAATATAATCAGAAGAACTAGTTGAATTTGTTTCTATAGTTGCTAGTCTTTTTTCAATTGCTTCCACTAGAGCTCTTTGGTTAATGTCTTAATGGTTGATACATCTTTTATAACTCATTTCTTGAATAGATAGATAGAGTATGTAAGTAAGAAGTGAATTGATATTTTGTAGGTCCTAGATGAAGCTGATCGAATGCTTGACATGGGATTTGAAGAGGATGTTCGCTTTATATTGGGAAGGACATGTTCTGGTATGTGTCTTTTCTGATACATGGGAATTTTATATTCCGACTTAATTTAAACCTTTTTCTGATGCCTGAGCTTTTAGGTTTTATAACTGCTCTGTGTAAGTGCTACTAATTATTGATAACATGAAGCTTGATCAAGCTAAGAAACATTTTTCTGTAGAGTAATGCATCAGCAATTATGTTGGAGATTCTCATGTCTCCTTTAACCTTTGAAGCTCGTCAGATGGTAATGTTCAGTGCTACATGGCCTGCAGCAGTTCACCGGTTAGCCCAAGAGTACATGAACCCTAATCCTGTTAAGGTAATTATCTTCATGCATGATGACATTTTCATGATTTCTTATTTATTTGGGGAAGTAATGAATTTTTTTCAGGTTGTGATTGGCTCAGAAGATTTAGCTGCCAACCATGATGTTATGCAGATAGTTGAGGTTTGTTATTACTTAACAGTTAAACCATGTTTCATATTAACTTATAGTGTGTGTGCCCACACATGCACGGTCGCACACTTATATTAACATTTTGGTTTCATTTGTAGGTTTTGGATGACCGTGCACGATATGAGCGTTTGACTGCTTTGCTCAAGAAATATCATAAATCTCAGAGGTAGTAGATCTCACATCTATTGAATTGCAACATTGTCTTTTTTATTTTTCCAATTGGTGATTGCTTTGACAAGAATTTGAATTTGTTTTCCCTTTAGATAATTCTGTATGAAATTGTACTGTAGTCTGCAAATAGATTAAACATATCAAAGGATGTAAACCAAAAAAAATATGGGAGCAAAATAAGGTTACCTTAAATTTTTGTCATGTTAGCCATCCAAGAAATCCTTATGATTTCTAGTAGCTTGTGAATATTGATTTATCTAATATGTTTTTATTTTATTTTATTTTATGATGTTGGCGTTAACCTTATAGAGATAATAAGCCCATACTGTTACTTTAAGTTGACTAGACTTGTATTGTTCTGTCATATTTATTTATTTGTTTATTTATTTTACTTGTATTAATTTTACATTTCGTCGAGTTTTGGCATAGAGGTTTTCATTTCAATCAGGAATAGAGTGTTGGTGTTTGTCTTGTACCAGGCAGAAGCTGATCGTATTGAAAGTATGCTCAAGAGAAGGTAAATTTTACTTACCTTGTCCTATTTAAAATAAGTTTGTAATTTCTCCATTGGCTAAATAGAATGGGTAGCATTTAAAGTTTTCACTTGTGCTACGTTTGGTAAGAGTGTTATTTATCCTCATGTTTTAGTACAGGAGTTGGCAATAATCTTACTTCACTTGGTAATTTTTAGCCTCTGAAATGAATCAGTTTGAAAAAAGAGAAGGAATATATATTGCTTTTTTGAATAGGTATTATTTTTTATTTTTTATCTGAGTTTTTACTCATCTTTCTCATTTCAAGTTTAGATTTTTACTCATCCTTCCTTATGTTATAACAAACTATTTTAAAAATTAAAACTCATGTAGTAATTAAGCTTTTTCTTGTGTTAATATCTATATACTCAAGTGTATCATTAGTTTTTTTAAAAGATGTGCTGCATGTTAAATAAATAAGTTTGAAGATCCATTCTTTCCTTAAATTCTAATGGTCTTTGAACTTTAATATTGTTACAGGCCTCGACTTACCTCGACTTAGTTTTTTACTTTAAATTAAGCACTAGAGCTATTTAAAATCTGCAATAATGCTAATCAATCTTGTTTGATGACATTAGTCCAACATGTCACTGACATGATAGTTTGTTATTCATGTGATTTTGAGTTGTGCAATTAAATATATTGTAAGAAATGCTTGATGGTTCTTGGATGGGTTTAAAAGTTTAAAACCATTCGTGCATACACAATTGTATCAGAATTTTAACTAGCTTTTTATTTGAACTTCTTTCTTTTCTTAGTTCATTTTATTTTATTCTTCTAGTGGCTGGAATGTTGTTTCTATACATGGTCGCAAAGCTCAAAATGATCACACCAAGGCTCTATCATTATTCAAGAAAGGAAGCTGTCCTTTGGTGGTTTACTCCTGCAAATTATATACTATTTTGTTTTTAATTTATTATTACAACTTTCGGCAGAATGACAATGTGGGAAACATCAGTGTTGTTTTGTATGTTGATATTGATGTAGACGTTTGCAAAATTTGATTAGTAAAACTTGGCTACTTTCTTCAGACACTTGATGTAAATAATAAATGATATAATTTCTCTACGCGTATTGATTTAACTAGGTTAAATTTTGACACATTAACACCATGTAATTCAGGTAGCTACGGATGTGGCTGCTAGAGGCTTGGATATTCCGGATGTTGAAGTAGTGATCAATTATAGTTTTCCTCTAACTACAGAGGACTACGTACACCGGATAGGAAGGACTGGGAGAGCTGGTAGGAAGGGTGTTGCTCACACATTCTTCACACAGCAGAATAAGGTAAGCTAATACAAATTTATCTTACACTTAAATTAAACAAGTGGTGAATGGCACATGGTCAAGTTTATTTCAATTAGTGACAAGCTTATGGCAGGGACTTGCTGGAGAACTGGTAAATGTTCTCAAAGAAGCTGGGCAGGTTGTTCCACCTGCACTGTTGAAATTTGGAACTCATGTCAAGAAGAAGGTTTGCTTTTACCTCCCCCCAATCTCTCTTGCTTGCATGCATACTTGTATACGTGCACATTAATGTTTGTGGTTTACGGTATGTCTTGTGACCTCATGATCATCTTGTTACCTGTCATAATACAGGAGTCCAAGATATATGGGGCTCACTTCAAGGAAATTGCTGCCGATGCTCCAAAGGCTAAAAAGATAACAGTTGATGACTCAGATGATGATAACTGATGCCGGTGCTTTGCAGTAAAATATGGAGAATTGATTATGAAAACTGGTTGGTTACTTATTCTAGATATTCCACCATATTTATTTTCTTTTTAACCAATTTTGTTTAAGCAGAAATTGATGTGAATATGTCATTCTGCTGGTAGTATGGAATGTGTAAAACCTAGATTTTGCTAATTTTCATTGAATGGCCATCTAGTTAAGTAAGAATCTCGTAGATTAAAAAAATAGTGGAACCCAGTGTGCAGGAATTGTTGTTGGAATTGATTAATATTTTATGTTCATTTTACAATGAATTGCAATTTCCATTATGGTTAACTACTAGGCAGAGATTGCATGGAAACTCTTAAAAGAAGGCATTCTGGCTATTGTTATCGCAGGGAAAGCACATTGATGATCATCAGGAGGCCTTTGTTAAACTAAGCTTATCTACTAATTTTCAGGTCCAAGAAAATTTGGAGCATTGATAGGGCTGCTAAATGCCTAGGGATGTCACTTTTTATCCATATAAAAAAGTCTAGTACCTTTCAAGCTGTCTGGTTGCCTTGTTCTGCAATTTAAGCAACTGTTGAAAAAGTTGGTTTGAATCAGTCTAAAGAGCTAATTTACTACGAAAATTCGATGTGATAGGAACATAGTTTTGAATGTTAAATATATTGATCAACTTATTGCCCTTTTCCTTACGACGAGTTACTCGGATAAGTAATTTGATTTAAAGAAAATGACAGGTTTCCTCAAATCCCTGAATCCTAGTCATGGCCTTTGTTGGTCCACATTATTAAATGATTATTTATAAACGAGAAAGGTGAAGAACTATTGTTTAGGTAGCGATTTTCCCGGTAAACACAAAGAATCCAAGCAATTCCTATATTATAATTAGGGCTGCAAACAATTTAAGTATTGTTGAGTTTGATTCGATTTAAAAAGCTTAAAGTTGAGTTTGACTTTAAAGTTTGTGAGTTTAAAATTATTTAATTTGACTAAAACTCAAAATAAAAAATTAAAGCTCGACTCGAGCTTAAAAAAGTTTGTACTTGAAACATCGACTTGATTTCGATTTAAGCTCGAATTCAAACTTGAATCTAAAGTAAATGAGAATTTTATATTATTTAAAAAACAATATATAAATGTAATCATTATTGATAATTTAGGCTAAAATTTTAATATCTAATATATTATTTTTTTCGAGTTGCTCGTAAGTTTTTTTGAGTTGGATATCAAGTAACTCACTTTGGTTCGTTAAGAACTCAGTCGAGTCTATTTGAATTGAGTAATTTGTGATATATCTGTTGCGGAAGACGACTATCGGATAGAGCAAAATCGCAACTGATAATTTGAGAAAATAAAAATGAAGATAAAAGAGACACAAAATTTACGTGGAAAACCCCTAAAATTATTAGGGTAAAAACCACGGGCAACGGTAGAAGAATTTCACTATGAGAAAATAGGAATTACAACCTCTCTCGATCTACCAAGGAGAAAACAATGATAATTCTCTCTTGATAAAAAGGAGAAAACAACTCTCAAGAAACTCTCTAAATTCTCTCTAGTATTGGAAGAAAGCTAGAATGCTTTGGGATGGTTTTGAAGCTAAATGAGCTAGGGTATTTATAGTTGAAGCTTAAAGAATAATTTGTAAATACCCTAAATTACAATGATTAAAAGTGCATTTCTACCATTGTTAATTTTCAACACAAATCCACCCTTTTTGACATTTGCCATTCGGTGGATTAATTAAATCCAACTTTCCACCGAAAGTTGGTTTAATTTTCAACAATCTCCCACTTGAAGATTTGATTGAAACAATCATATCTTCACACCATTCTTTCTACCTTGTACCATCATGTTGCTTACGTTTCTGACAGGCCACAAGAGGATTGACACCAAGTAAATTTATCGGTATTGATCGCCTTCGTCATGAAATCTGCTATGTTGTCTTTGGTATGAATCTTTTGCATATCTATCGTCCCTTCTTCCATCTTTTCACGAATGAAATAGTATTGAACTCGTATGTGTTTTGTCCTTGAATGAAATGCTGGATTCCTTGCTAAATGCAAGGCGCTTTGACTGTCACAAAACAGAGAGACATACTCTTGATTGTTCCCAAGCTCCTCCAATAGCATCTTCAACCAAATTGCTTCTTTACTGGCTTGTGTAGCTGCTACATATTCTGCCTCTGTTGTGGATGTAGCCACAAATGACTGCAATTTTAAAACCCAGCTTACAGCTCCACCAGCAATTTTGAACACATATCCTGTAGTAGATTTGCTTTTATCCAAATCTCCTGCATAGTCAGAATCTACATACCCATTGATTAATAAGTTTGATCCTCCGTAACATAATGCAACATTTGAGGTCTCTTTGATGTATCTCAGAATCCTCTTTACTGTATTCCAATGCTGGATTTGTCATGTACCAACTAACCACTCCCACTGCTTGTGCAATGTCTGGTCTTGTGCATATCATAGCGAACATTAAACTTCCCACTGTTGATGCATATGGTACTCGAGACATCTCCATCCTCTCTTCTTCACTGCTAGGACTCATACTGGAGGATAATTTGAAGTTAATAGGAAGAGGGGTAGAAATTGGCTTACAATCTTGCATGTTGAATCGTGACAATATTTTCTTCAAGTAATTCTTTCGTGAAAGACAAATCTTCCTATTACTTCTGTCTCGGTGAATTTGCATCCCTAGAATCTTGTTTGCTGATCCCAAGTCCTTCATTTCAAATTCCCTAGCCAGTTGTGCCTTCAATTCTTCAATATGATCTTTGTTGGGTCCTGCAACCAACATGTCATCCATATACAACAGCAAAATAACAAAATCGTTATCACCAGACCTCTTGAAATAAGCACAAGGGTCTGCATTAAGTCTGTTGTATCCAAGGCACATAATGAAAGAATCAAATATCTTGTACCAACACCTTGGCGCCTGCTTTAGACCGTAAAGAGATTTGTTCAACCTGCAAACCAAGTTCTTCTTTTCTTTTTCTTCAAAACCTTCAGGCTGGAGCATATAAATTTCTTCTTCAAGATTTCCATGAAGAAAAGCTTTTTAACATCTAGCTGCTCTAGATGTAAGTCCAATGTAGCACACATTGCCAAAACTACTCGAATTGTTGTTAGTCGAACCACAGGAGAAAATATTTCATTGAAATCAATACCTTCTTTTTGAGCATATCCTTTGACCACCAGTCTTGCGCGATACCTCTCAACTTGATCGTCACCATTTCGCTTGATTTTGAAGACCCATTTGTTACCAATTGGCTTCCTTCCTTGTGGTAGTGGCACAAGGTCCCATGTATTATTTTTATGAAGGGCTTCGATTTCTTCTTACATCGCCATCATCCATAGTGAAGCATCTGAACTGTTTATTGCCTCCTGGTATGTTGATGGCTCACCATCCTCTGTTAAAAGACAGTATGCAACATTTCCTTCTATAACATAATCTGAGTGCCAATTGGGATGTCTTCTCACACGATCTGATTGACGAGTTGTTGGAGCTTCAGAACTCTCTGGTTCTTATTCATCATGTGCTGGTTCTGCTTCAGAAGAATCTCCTTGTTCAACCTCTTTTTCCACATGTATATGTGTAGTCTCTGACTTTTCAGTTCTATCATCGTCTTCTTTTCTTTGTAGCTTATCTTCTACAAAGATGACATCCCTGCTGATGATCACTTTACGGGCAGTGGGATCCCACAAGCGATACCCCTTTACTCCATCAGCATACCCCAAGAATTTGCATTTCCTGGATTTTGGATCCAGCTTTGAGATTTCTTGGGAGTTGTACATCACGTACACAATACTTCCAAATATATGGAGGTTTGAATAATCAGTTGGTTTACCAGTCCACATCTCCATTGGTGTCATCAGCTCTATTGCAGTTGATGGAGCTCGATTCACCAAATAACAGGCGGTATTGACTGCTTCTGCCCAGAATGATTTTTCTAGGCTTGCATCCCTTAACATTGCTCTTGTTCTTTCTAACAAGGTTCTGTTCATCCGCTCTGCCACTCCATTTTGTTGAGGAGTGTTCGCCACTGTGAACTGTCTTTTGATGCCTTCTTTCCTGCAAAAGTCATCAAATTCTTCGCTTGTGTATTCTCCTCCATTATCTGTTCTGAAACACTTGGTCTTATTTCTAGAATCAAGTTCCACCCGCGCTTTGAAGTTTTTGAAAGTTGAAAACACGTCTGACTTCTTCTTAATAGGGTGCACCCAACATCTCCTGGAGTAGTCATCAATAAATGAGACAAAGTATTTTGCTCCACCTAGGGACGTTACTGGTGCTTTCCATACGTCAGAGTGAACCAATTCTAGAACACTTTTGCCTCTAGAATTTGATGTGTTGAATTTCAACCGGTGCTGCATACTTGTTATACAATGCTCACACAAAGGAAGTGATACCTTTGTTAAGCCTGGAAGTAGCTTTTTCTCCACAAGGACTTTCATTCCGTGTTCTAACATGTGTCCAAGTTTCTGATGCCATAGCATTACCGAATCTGAACTACATGAGGCAACAGAGGCTTCTGCTTCTAGCAAAGTCTCTCCCTTCAGCATGTACAAGTTTGCTGCTATCTTTTCGCCTTTTAGCACCACAAGCGCTCCACGGAACACCTTCATGATTCCTTTCCGTGTCTCAATCTTGCTTGCATTATTATCCAAGAATCCGTAGGATAATAAATTTTTCTTCAGGCCTTTCACGTGCCGTACATCTCGAACAACTTTAATTGTTCCATCATACATCTTCAATTTGATGGCTTCCCACGCCAATGATGTCTAAGGCATGATCATTGCAACTATACACAGATCCTCTTGAGACAGGTTCTGATAGGGAAGTGGTGGCGGATTGATGAACGTTGCTCTTGTTGAAGAATCAAACCTAGAAAGCTCTAGACTCGATAAAGAACAAAGGTGATGAATATGGGAAGCTGGCGGCAGTCGCTAGGATTGTTTAGGGTTTCTTTTATGTGCTGGAATCAAGACAACATGATTAGAATAAAATAAACAAAAGATAAATAAATGAAAGATGAAATAAGAT